TATATATATATATATACAGTATATGCTTAGGCCTTTAAGGCCCCGCCATTATAGTGAGTTTTGGCCTAAGTATATACTACATAAAAACATGGAGCCTTATATACTCCAAAAATTCCCAAACCCTGACATTACACTTAAAGGAGCCCTGTATTAAAGCAAACCTTACAGGAAACGATATAGGCACATGGAGCCTTAGGGAAAAAAAGGACCCCTTTGGCCTTTGTCCTTGGGGTCCAAGGGACGCCCTGGTAGTTCCTACCGCACGGTTTAGGGTCTAGGGCTTATAGGGCTCTATGACAAGGGAGGCCCCCAAGACAAATTAATAAAGGAACCAAGTGCCCTTTCATAGAGCCCTTATCCCTAAGGCTCAAACAAGCCCAAAAGCCTTATATAGAATGGTCGTTGGGCCCAAAAGCCTTACAATATGAGTCCTTAGACCCTTAGGGTATGGTGCTTAAGGGTGGATGGGGGTAGAATAGAGGGCAAATCGGGGGTCTAGGTCCTTGCCAGGCTATCACATGCAAACCTAGTAGCTGCCACTGCGCCGCACGCCCGCAGGTGCTGATCTCAGCATTGAAAGTGATGGTATCCGGCTGAAGCCGCGCCTGTAGGAAGAAGGACTTCAGATCTAGGGCTGTTTAGGGTTTCGGGTTTAGGGTTTATAGGCCTTCGGCACTATAGTAGGGCTAGTCACTACGGTTTAAGTAATCTAGGGGCCTTAACAAGTAGAATAGGGCTTTAGGGTACCATTAGAGCTTATAGGCCTTCGGCACTCCCTAGACCCTTAAACGTAATACCTTTTTTGTTGATACCTCATTCTATCGTTAAGATCCCATGATGGGAAACTAAGGTAACCAAAAAAAGGGTACTACATTTCAGGGTCTCCGTATAGTAGGGCTTCAGATTTAGGTACTACGGTTTAAGTAATACAGGGGCCTCAATAATTAGTTAGAATAGGGTTTTGGGGACAGCATACTCTAAGTATGATAAGGAACCTCCAAGATATCTTAGGTAATTATTAAGGCCCCTTTACCCGAAACCGTTGTGGTAGCCCTTATAAAACCCTTCAAGGAGCAATTTAAATGAACCCCCCAAAATAGTATAGGTAATTACTAAGGCCCCTACAATAGTTGGGGTTAGATCATCGGGCTAAGAGCTTTCATGGCTTTGGGGCTGGAGGTTTAGGGTTTAAGGGTTTAGGGCTTCAGAGGTTTAGGGTTTAGGGGTTTAGGGTCTTAGGGTTTGGGGTGTTCCTCATGCCCAGTCCTCCAGCATGTCTGAATGCAGCTGATAACCTCACTTGCCCAAAGAAGCCGGGGGAAATAAGAGGTTAAACCTTCAGATTACTACTAAGCTATAAGAACCCAAAAAGTTTAAAGGTTGGGCATTGGACTTTCAGATTACGACTAAGTTGTAAGAACCCAAAAAAGTTCTAAAGATTGGGTATTGGAGATCTGAGTAACAGACGCGCCATTCACCGCTCTTCTCACAGGAGCTTAGGACGGCGTTGAAGGTGATCTCATCCGGCAGCACATCGAGCGAAGCCATGTCCAGAAGTAGGCACAGGGCCTTTGGGGTTAGGGTTTAGGGTTTTCCCTCTTCCTGAAAGAAAAACTTCATGCAAAGAACGCCGCAATGAGGAATGTGCATCAAAAGTAAACTTGAACTTAACACGAAGGTTCGTTGATTAAAGATAGTGCTAGCAGCCTCACAGGAAGTAAAGCCGTTATGTTGGACTGCGGGAACACTTTGAATCCACGTCAGGGGCCTCAAATATGTCCTACGAGCTCATCGCATGATCATCTCATACTTCAAACCCTAAACCCTAAACCCTAAACCCTACACCATGTCGTCTACCCGCAAACCTGCCGCAAGCCTAAACAACCCTAACCCTTAAGCAAAGCCTAGTAGCCAGGTGCGGGTTCAACAACCTTGTTCAAAACAAAACACCTCCTCAGCCGTGAACACACCATTCACTTGTGGATAAACAACAAACAAGCTTCGCCGATATCAGACGAAAACAACAACACAACCCTAAACCCTAAACCCTAAACCCTAGACCCTAAACCCTAAACTCTAGACCCTGAACCCCAAACCCTAAACCCTAAACCCTAAACAACAAAAAAAAACAACGAAGTCGAAGCGAAGTCGCGAGCTCCCAGAAGCCCTCGCTTCCACAGGCGCTGATGGCCGCATTGAAGCTGAACTGGTTCGGCGAGATACCTAGTTGTTACTGGAGATAGGGTTATAGGGTTGAGGGTTTTATCGTCTAGGGCTTTAGGGTTTTAGGGTCATAGGGTTATAGGGTTAAAGGGTTTTTTAGGGTTTAGGGTACTTGATCCTACCCATAGGGTCCATAGTGGTTAATATGTAGAAGAGGGGTTCCTTTAAAGGGTTCCGTAAGGGATCCATAAGGGTTCTGCAAGGTAGGAAACCTTAATGATCAGAATAGGGTTGTGGTGTATATTAGGGTATAGTTATAGTAAGGAGCCCCCCCCAAGTAGTCTAGGTAATTATCAAGGCCCCTAATAGTAGTTGTTACTTAAAGGCTTTACGGTTCATGGATTTGGATACCTCGGGTTCTTCAGTTCATGGATTGGGATTTCAGGGGTTCCTGAAAGGCTTTACGGTTCATAGATTAGGGTTCAGGGTCTAGGGTTTAGGGTTCCTTGGAGGGTTCATTCTAGCGGTTGTAGTTTGGTGATGCAAGATCGGAGAGAATGCTGTTCAGGGTCTTGCAGTCTATGGGGGTTTATGGGTTGTTCCGGCCCTGAACCCTAAATTTTAGTAAATTCCTTTAGGATGTTCCGGTTAACAAGGACCTTCAATGTCTTGAGAGAATTCTATAGCCCTAAGGCTTCATGCGCCCAAGCAGTATATACTTTGGCCTTAAAGCAGTCCCTAGTGTAGGTACTTTGGGGCCAAAGTACGCACCACTTGGGTGCATGGACCCTCATACCCAAGAAACCCTGAACCCTAAACCGAACCCCTTAAGGGAACCCCTAAAGGGGGGTACATGGGCGCTTCGGGCTTAGGGTTTAGGTTTAGGATTTAGGGTTTAGGGTTAGGGTTAGGGTTAGGGTTTAGGTTTAGGGTTTAGGGTTTAGGGTTTAGGGTTTAGGGTTTTAGGGTTTAGGGGTTAGGGCTTAGGGTTTAGGATTTAGGGTCCAGGATGACATGATCCCTTTGAGGGATTCGGGCCTTTCGTCTGAGGATATGTGGTGGGTTTAGGGGCGGCTTAGGGGATTTAGGGTTTAGGGGCTTTAGGGTCTAGGGTGTTTGGGGTTTAGGGGCTTTAGGGCTTT